GTTATTGTTTGGAAGTACCTATCGGTGCTTGAGCGAATGAGATCAGCCACGCGCACAGCCAGAGTAGCAGCTGCCAACTCTAAACGTGTTATAGAGACGGCTTTGAGGGGGGCAACACGGGCTTTCGAATAAACGAGTGAACAATGTAAATTTCCTGTGCCGTTAATAAAGCGAGAATATGATACTGCACTGTATGCTACTTCCGAGGCATCGCAAAACACGTGCAGTTCGACACGCATCGGATCGCTGATATCTTTGGGCTTTAGACATCGGCCCAGCTGAAAAGTCTTCAGGCTCCGTAAATTAGAGATCCAGTTTTCCCAACGAGAGCTCTCGATGCCAGATAGTTTTTCATCCCGATTCAGTCCGTTTTTGCATAAGGATTGCAGTAAACACTTCCCTGGTATCAGCCAAGGCGAAACGAAGCCCAGAGGGTCATAAAGTGAGGACAAACAGGACAAAATACCCCAACGAGTGGACGGTTTTGCGGGCATATAGAAACTTATCATCAGAATATCGGAATGCGTATCACACTGCAACCCCAAAGTTCGTTCAGTAGGTAGGGGGTTGACGGCAATATCTCTCATACCAGAAGAACGTTCAGTCGCATTAACGACCGAGAGTATACGCCGGTCATTAGAAGCCCAGTTCCGCATACGAAAGCCGCCTTGAGAGAGGAGTTTACAAATTTCGTCCACAAAACGTTTGGCTGAATCGACATCACATAACCAGACTACAAATCATCAACGTATAAACTCTGGTGAATCGCTCTGCAAGTTGATGAAGAGTAAGATGAACCAAAATCGCCAGCAGTTTTTTGCAACGCAAAGGTGGCACAAAAGGGCGAAGAAGTCAATCCAAATGGGTGAGATGTCCACTGAAACTCAACTGGCTCTCCTTCAAGGTCGTCATTTTCCTACCACAAGAATTTCAGAGCAGGTCGATCAATCGGGTCCACTTTCACTTGCAAGAACATTTCCCCTATATCCCCTGCCACTGCAATACGCTCAAGTCGGCAACCCAACAACACACTTACTAGCTTAGCGTTTAGGTCAGGTCCTTGGTATAGATTATCATTCAGAGACACGCCCTGACACTTGGCAGCACAGTCAAATACAACACGATTTTTTTCTGGTTTTCGGGGGTCGACAACGGGGTGGTGTGGTAAGTACCAGTGTCTCGTAACTGGAAACGCTTTGTTGCCGTCAACTCGCTCGATGTATCCCTTCTCCATGTACGAACGGAATGTTTGCTCATATTTCCGAAGTAATTCGGGATCTCGACCCAACTTACTCTTGAGATGGATTAGTCGTTTACGTGCCAACGGAAAATTAATCGGTAAATTCAGCGTACTGTTTCGCCAAGGGAGTGGCAGTTGGTAATGCCCTTTTATGATTGTAACGGAAGATCGCACAATAGCCAGTGCCCGTTTGTCCTCCAATGAGTAACTCGCAGTCGTTGTTGAAGTGTCCGTAAACTCCGAGTCGTATAGCTTCTTAAAGCTGTGCGTCACGTCCTTTTCTTGATTTACAATGCAGTGACAGACAGCGTTCTGTTTTTGCCTGCCACGTGAAGACCCAAGCAGCATCCAGCCCAGCAGTGTTTTAACGGCGAACGGCTCCCTTTTGCCACCCAGACGTTGGTCGAGTACCCAATGAGCTTTCACGATATCATTCCCAATGAGTATGCCAACCTCGCAATCAGTGAGCTCGTCGAACATTATATCGCTCAGGTGTGGCCACGAAGAGACTATCCTTTTAATTGTCGATTCTGCACGAAGTGGCAAGTCTTCGACTACCAAAGCCCTTTCAATCTCAACTGACTCGGTTCCATGCATGGGCAGCACCCTTAGACTTCTGACTTCCGAGTTGCATTTGATTGAACCGCTTTAGGTGTTTATTGTCAATGTTGTTGGCGTTGTTAACACTCCATTTCCGACAAGAAGCTTTCGTTTAATCAGAGTGACATCCGAGCCACTGTCCAAAAATGCGTAAGTTTTGACGTTTCCTGTCGGAGTTGCCAACTTGACAGGAATAACCCGCAGTCGTGATGGTACATGCGTAATTCCAGTCAGGGCACAAAGCCCTTCATCATGTAATGTTTGTTGATTATTTTCCGACGATATTACATGCAAAAGCGTATGATGTCGTTTTTTGCACCCGGAATGACCGCAAAGTTCTCTGGAGCTGCCCACCTTGGCAAAATGCGTATTATCAAGACAAACAAAACACGTTTTGTGTTGCCGCAGACAATTCCATCGATCCGCGACACCCATTGCAATTAAACGTTGGCAATTTGCCACTTCATGTGCATTAGAACATATGTAACATGACCGTTGATCTGGTTCGACACTCGAAATGGCAAAATTGTTAGGGTTCTCCCGTTTTTGATGTTAGGCCGTGGCAGTAAATGGCTATTGAGAGCGCTTGCCATCCCCATCTCGAGATATTTGTCCGAAACGACTTCTTGCTATCCTAGCTCGAGTATTTACGAATTCCGTGAGGTCTGCAAAATCCGGATCTCTACCATTCATAGATATTTTATCAGCAAATTCAGCCCAACTTCAGCTCAATTTCAAAGATAAGTGAAGCTCTGCATTTATCTGGATATTCTTAAGTAATTAATGCCTGTTTTTTACTTGAGTCCGTTTTAAAAGGCGCCTTTCTATATAAGGTAAAATTTTTTCCCAGTTTGTTTGACAGTCTGGCAAAATAGTCGTATTTTGTAAAAATCCATTGTAGTGAATCCTTTCCCTACTACCGCTTTCTAGTTTTCGTAGTAAAAAAACAGTAATACTTGCTACTCAGTGCGCGTTTCCGTTTTGATCCCTCTTCTTTAACGAAAAAACTTTTTTTTGTCTGTAATGTCCCGCAGAGCACGTGCTAAAAGGCGAAAGCTTGCGGCCTCCCCACCGTCTCTGGGTGCTAAAATCGTGACTGAAGACATGGCAGACGCCAGCGTATGTTCTTCGCCGTCTGAAGATCTGATTAGCTCACAAATCCCTTTAGTACATGTAGAACCTCTCGACCCTTCAGTCGTCCAAAAATACGCCTCTGCTAGTCGTAGCAGGCCATCAGCCGGCGAAATAATCGATCAGCTGATTTATGGAGACATAAACAGCACTTCTGAAAAAGTGCTTGAACAAGTTTTTAAACTTATTGGGGTAATAAGTTCGGAAACTGAGGAACGAATTAAACGCAAGCATAATTTCGTACTGCGAAACATTCCGAGCCACTTATCTGCTATGGAGGGAGCGCATGTGTTCCTACAAAGTTGTGGCTTGAGTTTTAGTGTCGCACAAGCTAAGCGACTTCGCTCGCATAGTCGTAGTGCGCCGATACTAGTTACCCTTTTCTCCATGATAGAAGTCGATTTTATCTTGTCGAGTAGGGAGATGACTAGAGACTTCTGCCGTAAATGGCGCTGCTCCGTTTCGCCAGACCTCACACCCCTGCAGCGAAGACTGAATAAACTGAAATCGGCAAAAACCAACACCAAGATAATGACACCTACTGTCCGTCTGAATATGTCCTCTACAACACCACCTGCGGCATTTGCAAGTCACGGCATAGTCAATTCCGTAGGGAGTTCGACTACTTTTAATGCTGACCTCTTTAAACACACCACCACGCCTGGTATAAACACGCCTCTATCGACTCCCCCAGCAAACCCTAGTAAGCCTTAGCATGTGTCTAAGTCAAAGGCAAATCCAATTGCTGTCTCAGCCACTCGGACACCCAATAAATCCAGCACCAGTATAAAATGTTTTCCTCCACAATCGGCGAACAGTGCCTCAAATACCCCGACTCAAAACGTAGCGGGTTCGCAACTGCCCCCCAGCCCTCATATCGAGGCAGTTAGGCCGATTTTCCCACCGTTTAATAGACCTCTTGTTCCAATGGAAACATTGCGTCCCCCACCCCCTAACTTGTTTCCTCCACGGGCGTTTTACCAATTTATTCCTCATGATAATGTCCATACTGAATCAGTTAATTCATCCGATCCTCAGTTTCGTCCCGGCGGGAATACGTTGCAGTATCTGCCCCGCGGATTTCCAGCTGAAAATAAATTAGCTAACAATAGTTA